AGGGAGAAGGGGGAGGGAAAAGGGAGATGGGGAGGGAAATGGGAGGTGGGGAGCAGGCGGAAATTTTTTTTTCAATAAAAAAATTATATTAAAAAAAGATGCAGCAATACCACTTTTGGGTATATGTTCAAAGGATACTCAATCATACCACAAGGACATGTGCTCAACTATGTTCATAGCAACATTGTTTGACATGGCCAGAACTTGGAAACAACATAAATGCTCCTCAACTGAAGAATGGATAAGGAAAATGAGGTACATTTACACAATGGAGTACTACACAGCAGAATAAATTAATGACATCTTGAAATTTGTGGGCAAATGGATGGATCTAGAAAACATCATATTGAGTGATGTAACCCAGACCCAGAAAGACAAATATCACATGTACTCATTCATAACTGTCATTTAGGCATAAAGCAAAGAAAAACCAGCCTACAATTCACAATCCCAGAAAATCTAGACAACATTGAGAATCCTAAGAGAGACATACATGGACCTAATCCACATCGGAAGTATAAAAAGACAAGATATTTTAAGTGAATTGTGAGCATGGGCATCATGGGAGAGGGTAAAGGGGAGGGTAGAGAAAGGGAGGAGGGGAGCAGAGTAAAATATATAGCTCAATAAAAATCAATAAAAAAAATTCAAAAAAGAAGTCTTGCCCTTAGAAATTTGAGTTCTACACATATGCTCCAATTCCTTCCTTATCTTCTTTCTCGAAATATAATACCATGGTGGGTACCCAGGGATGGCTTTGATAAAAGACCTCCCTGATTCCTACTATGCTTCTGTGAAAAGACTCTTTCCTGATGCAAGGCCTTTGAGGAAGTGCAAGTTTTTCATGAAAGTAGAGATACATCATGAGAATCTAGGTCTATAAAAGGCAATTATATTTTTTTAAAAATATTGTTCCATGTCTACATTCCATAAGGTGTTAGTAAACATAAAATATATTAAAAGAGGGACATCTGGGGAAAGTAGGTTAGCAGGTCATTTGTTTTCCATTATTTGTATTGCTTTTGATTTTATTGTTTTCCTCCAGGATTTTCTGGTTTGAGAAGTCAATATACTTTGTACATCTTCACTTAATACTTAATGATTTCTAGTTTCTCTTACTTTATTATAACATGTGAACATTTTATAATTCTAACATTTATCGTCACACAGAGTAAAACTAAAGTTGTAACAAGAATGGCATAAATTTGGAAAGCAATATTTTCTAGATATACAAGTAAAAAATGCTTGTTTTATTGAATACACTTGGAGTAGACATGATATGTAGACTATCCATGGTGTCTCTGGAGCATCATGTCCTCAGTATCCAAATTACTATCTATAGAAAAAGTGGTGTAAAATCACAACCATGTCATGAGGTCTTCAATTTAACCTCATTGAAACATTCAATCAATAATTACTGAGCTTCTGTTCTGAGCTAACACCACTGCAGATGAATAACTAAAACAGCATCCCTCTTATTATTATAAATGAAGACTCACATTCATAGAACATGAATTCATGCCTTCATACTCATTTAACAAATAATGACTCACTTGTTACAGACACAGCTTAAAGAATGCTTGCATAGGCTGGTCACCTTACAAAGAATGAGGTTGGTAAGTGATTTCTACGAAATATTTAGAGATGAATGATACCTTTCAATAAAGATAGTTTCTTCACTGATGGTAAAGGTGCTCAAGTTTCCATGCCCGATGGATTTGTGTGAACATCTGTAAAAGGCTTGGTCCTTAGGTGGAGAAGAGTGAAAGCCTTAAAAAGTGAGATACACTCAGACCTCACCAGAGATGTTTCTTCACACAGTGAATGATAGTCAATACAGAAATTCAAACTGGTCAAAATACAGAGAATAAGTATCTGTTAGGTGTTCAACTACAATGATATATCTGTATCACACTCCATCCCAAGAATTGGGGACCATATTAGAACAGTGATTGGAAAGACTATTAAGAGGGATATGTAAGAAAGGACCACCTATACTACTACAGTGTCTTCTGGATACGAGGGAACCTCTGGACTCATGAATTCACAGTAGCTATGGTTCCCTGGACAAGCCTTAAATAAGATCAAGCTGGTCAGGATTCTATAATGGAGGAGGGAGACACTTAGATGTTTTCCACCCTAACTGAGCAGTTATGGACAGTTGCTGGCTTCTGGGGAAGGTAGAGTCATTTTTTTACTAAGGGTATGGCTGTGCATAGTTCAATCATGTTTCACGAAGAGCCTCACATCTGGGGTTATATAAGTAGTGCAATCTGGGAAGGGTGTGTTATGTTATAAAAAGGGTGGGAAAAGAGGTAGGCTTGGATCTGGAAGGAGTGAGTCAAAGAATGGATGACTATGATCAAAAGACATTGTATTAAATTCTCAAAGAATAAAAAATATTAAGAAGCAAACAAAAGAATAAGTGGAGTATAGCAGAGACTCTATGCTATTGCAGCCAGCACTCAGAGGGCATCATAGGATGCTATGTTCTTTATCAGTCCTTGCCTTCCTGGGATGAGGTAAGCAGCTTTACCCTGTCAGGCACATCTGTCATGATGTGTGCCTCCTCACAGGTCCAACATCTTAGGCAAACTGAGTGTGAAAAGGAAGCTCAAAGCATATGCTACAGCAAACATTTTTTTCTGTCTACATTAGCAATTTTTATTTTTATTATTGTAGCAACTGTCTATATTAGGCATATTTTACAGTGACAGAAAGACAAGGCTTAGATGCACAGATGTTGAATGTCTCAGGGCAGGAGGATCAGAGCGACAAGTTACACGCAACTCCTACACAAAAATCAAAGCTTCTTAAACTGGTGATAATCTCCTACTTAAAAAAAACTCTAATGCATATACATAAATATATATTAATATATAACATATATAGTTTTATATTATACAATAATTATATGAACATATTGTATATATTGTGTATATATTTCCCCAAAGATGCTATTCTCTCATTTCCTCATCTTCCTTCTTTTCTTTAGTGCCCCTAATATAAAGGACATTATTACACTTTATTAGAACTTTACCTGAGCGCTCAGAAAAAGCACCATCAATGTATTCTTCTGTATTTGCAACCTATATGTTCATGTAGCCATCTACAGAGACCAGGAAGCCCTTATATTCCATTCATCATTTAAATTTCATCATCGCTAGCTTTCCTGTCAAACTTTTGAGAAAAGGTTTGGGATTAAGAGGTAAAATTATTGCAAACACCCACAAGTACTGCACCATATTAGCTGCCAGTCTGCTACTGCTGGCCACTCTACTAATCCCCCGCCATTTTTTTTTTTGTTTGTTTTTCAAGACAGGGTTTCTCTGTAGTTTTGGTGCCCATCCTGGAACTAGCTCTTGTAGCTCTTGTAGACCAGGCTGGCCTTGAACTCCCAGAGATCTGCCTGCCTCTGCCTCTGGAGTGCTGGGATTAAAGGCGGGCACCACCACCGCCCGGCATAATCCCCCCTTTTTTTTTCTAAAATATTTTCACACAATATTTTTGATCATGTTTTCCCTCCCACCGCTCCTCCTGGATTCTTCCTACCTCCCTACTCACCCAACTTTATGTTCTGTCTGTCTGTTTCACTCTTTCAAAAAACAAAACATAAGAAAACAAAACAAAAACAAAAAACTAAGAAACAATAGCAAAATACAAACAAAAAAATTCCACAAAATGAAAATCAGAGAAGGTAAAATATAAGTAGGACAAAAAAAAATAAAGTCAAATGAAACAAATGTTCACAAAAATACCATTGAAGTCATTCGTGTTGTGACATTCGTGTTGTATTATATCCAATGACACTCCACTGTGGAACACGGATTTTTCCTTTGCCAACCAGTATCAACTAAAGGCAGCTTTTTAGTGAGTAGTGGGACCCTATGTGCTCTTCCCTCTCTCAGTGCTGGGACCTTTTCCAACTTGAACCTGTGTAGGATTTGCATTCTCCTATGCCATATATTAGTGTCTCCTTTGGTCCCCATCAGAGAAGCCCCTTCTTGCCCTAGGTGGGAATTAACAAAGAGGTCCAGAACTGGACAATGTGCAGAGAGTGGGAGATTTTTAAACGTATAGTCCTAAATCACATATTGCCATCAAACTCATTTTCTCAAGACTCGGGAATCTATAAAGAAGATAGAATGAAAAGATGGTATGAGCTAGAGGTGGTGGGTGGCTCTGAGGAAACTCTGTCCTCTTGACACAGCATGGCCAATGTACATATGAACTCTCAGAGACGGTGGCATTTGCTCACAATGCAATCCATTGCACATGCAGACGCTGTCTGCCGTTCATTGTGTTGCCCTGAGGAACTGTGATCCTAAGAACTTTTACAACGTAAGCCAGACCCAAAAAGAGGAAAATGGGATGTTCTCACTCATATTTGGTTTCTAGCCATAAATAACGGACATTGAGCCTATAATTCGTGATCCTAGAATTATAGAAGCTAAATAAGGTGAACCCAAAGAAAAACCTATAGGCATCCCCCTGAATATTAACCGTCATCAGGGGATAAAAGGAGACTGAGACAGAGACCCACATTGGAGCACCAGACTGAAATCTCAAGGTCCAAATCAGGAGCAGAAGGAGAGAGAGCACGAGCAAGGAAATCAGGACCACGAGGGGTGCACCCACACACTGAGACAATGGGGATGTTCTATCGGGAACTCAACAATGCCAGCTGGCCCGGGTCTGAAAAAGCATGAGATAAAACCGGACTCGCTGAACATAGCTGACAATGAGGACTACTGAGATCTCAAGAACAATGGCAATGGGTTTTTGATCCTACTGCACTTATTGGTTTTGTGGGAGCCTAGGCAGTTTGGATGCTCACCTTACTAGACCTGGATGGAGGTGGGTGGTCCTGGGACTTCCCACAGGGCAGGGAACCCTGATTGCACTTTGGGCTGATGAGGGAGGGGGACTCAATACGGGGAGGGGGAGGAAAATGGGAGGCGGTGGCAGGGAGGAGGCAGAAATCTTTAATAAATAACTAATAAAAATAAATAAATAAATTTTAAAAAACATCATGATCTTATCTATTTGGTATTTCACTCGAGAAGAAAAAAAGAAAAACAAAGGAAAGGGATAGGAAAGCAAAGGAAAAAGAAAATCAAGTGTGCATCTAACACAGACTCTTGGCTCTTCACACCTGCATACTCCTTAAGTAAGACACACACAATACTGTGGCATACTTTAGACAGCGTGCTAAGCAAAGATCTGACAAACAAATGAGCTCCACTAAGCACAATATGAGAAAGACAATGTGCACTTCCGCTTCTGCTATGTCACTAGAATGACAGTTTCCAGAGGGCAGGGGATGTGCATTTGACTGTATTCACGGTTGTACCCCCAGTGCTTATAGTCATGCCTGGTCCCGAGGAAGAACCGGATGTTTTCAGGGAGTAAATGTGTGACCAGTGTGGACAGCCTAGGCCTTCTTCTGCAGTGTTTTGAGGCACAGAACACCACCGCAGAAACTGAGTAAATCTTAGGGGAAAGAGAATAAATATCCCTTATAGATGAAGTTAATGGGTTTGAGGAGAAAAACTGCCTTACTGCCTGTGGGTGAGAGAAAGAGAAGCATTCTTAGTACCTGGGTTATGAGTCTGTATTAAAAAATAATTTCCTCTGGATGCTTGGTTTCATTTGGACCCGTCATACCAAATATAGTAAATGAATTATGCTAAAAAATAAGTTCCAAACCAAATAAATGTACATACACCTGCAGGCATTCCAATTGGCTTTTTTTTTTAAACTCAAAAAAGTAATTATGCCATTATCTATTAGGGAACCTAGTGAGCTGTGAAGAGATAGTGGCGTTCATGTCTACTATTACTAAGCCATTTTTTTTTCTTGCTAAGAACTAATATGTCAGAAAAGTAGCCAAGAATAAAAAACATTAGAAATATTGAGATTAATAGCTATTATGGTCTCACAGCAGAAATGGAGAAACAGATATACTGATGAAAAGTTAAACCTGAGCCAACTGTCATCTTGTGCTCAGATCCCAAAAATTACTCTTTTAGAAATGTATTTATGAATTATATTTTATATGGGCATGAATACCACCCACCTCATACAACTCCCCCTTCCACACCCTTCACTTCCATCACCCGAGCTCAAAGATACTGAAGGAATGATTGATTTTTAAGGTTCCTGGTCCAAGCTATATAACCGTTCACATAAAATGCGCCAAAGGTACAACTTCATTCAGTTCATTCAGCTTATTCTTTCCTTTTCCCTTCAACTTTTCCTTTGTGGGTTGTTAGGAGGAAGGTGGGAATTCCCTTCACGTGATTAGTCATCTAACCTACAACCTAACACTTAAAAATTAGTGACCATTACCTAGGGAAAAACTTGCATAGGGCTCCATCATTACCTCTAGCAGTTCATCCATTGAGGATGACACCAGATGCCAACATTCAGCTTCCATCTGCATGGGTCCACCCACATGTGCCCCACACACCGGCAGTCACATATATAAATACGTATGCATACACACAAATAAACAAGCCAATTTAAAAAAAATAAAAAGAAAGAAAAATTTCTCAGAGTGAGCAGAACTGAAATTGGGGAAACTAGTTCAGTAAGACCTGGCCACAATGTACTCCACAGGAGAAGACCTCAGAGAAGGAACTCAAGAATCTAGCCAGGCTACTTGTCCCCAGATAAATATGGCAAAGCAATTGCTTTGAACAGTCTGAGTCTTAGTGAAGATTTTGGTAACTAAAATAATGTCTGTACCCTAAGAATAAAGATTTATTTTGAATTCCATTGAAATAAAACTGGCAAAAAGTATTATCAATGTGTCGAGATATACTACAGTTTATTCCTGGAGGATCTATTGTAATTAAGGTATTAATGTCCTAATATTGGCATATGTTATTGAAGTTATGGCAGATTCAGCTCAGTAAGAAGTCCTTGGGATGCTAGGGGTGGCCTTTCAGCAGGCTGCTCTCTCAAAAGGGTTGGAATAAAAGTCTGATGTTGGTCGCAACTAATCTTCTCTCTGTATTCCTTCCCCAAAGACCTACCTTTGCTTCCCAACATGCTAAGATTCAGCTTAGAAACATTACCAGCATCATCTCTGAGATATACCAACATTGAGCAGAATAAAGTTGTTTCTTCCTAAGTAAGAAGCCAAAGATGTTTCATAATAGCAACACAAAACTGATTAAAATATAGATTCTCCAAGAAGTATTACCAATAATAACCTTTAATAGCTAATCCAGCTCACCTTTAACCAGGCAACAACTTTGAAGTAACAGTATTAATTGCCTGAATTTCCTCTGAGTGAGGTATTTCTACTGTTTAGGGGCTCACTGAGCAGACAGATACAAGTATTACCAGTCTCATGCAAAGATCTGTCCCATGAAGTGTATCATTGGAGCTGGTAGGAGTTAATGTTCTCTGTCTCACAGGTATGGCTATACTACATGTTACTGTAGACTGTTTGCAGGTATTAAAACTTAGTGACTCTCTTCGTATCTTTTGTTCTGCTATAGCAGAAAATAACAGTAAGTAATTTATAAAGAAAAGAACCTTATTCCTCACAATTAAGAATTGGCAAGGCCCAAGGTCAAGTTGTCAGCAGGTTTGCTTGTAGGCAGGTTAGCTTACAGGCAGGTTTGCCTGTGGGGCGAGGCTATAGTCTATGGAGGAGAGGAACACTGCATCCCTCATGTGGGGGAGGAAGAAAGAACAAGAGACCTGGATGCCTTATGAAGCCTTTTAAAAACTTCCTACTCTATGAACAAGGTAGGAGCCACCATGGCTAAACTGCCTCTTAAGAGCTTTATTTCTCAATGATATCATATGGGCAACATCTGAATTTTGAAGAGCTGTGTACAAGTCATGGCAGCAACCAGTGGCCGCCCAGGATTGGCAAAGAAGGAAGAACTGGCAGAGTCTTCCTAGAGCCGTGCAACACATGAAGAACGCAGTCATGCGAACAAAGTACAAACTCCCAGATCCGCTTTTCACTGCGTGGGGAACTTAAACTCATCATGCCACCGCTCAAAGCATTAGCATTTACAGGTGGTTGTAAGGTTTACCTGAGATAGTATTCACAGCAGCTTCATAAACTGTGTGGTTGTGATTGCAGGGCCGGCTCCATCAAGTCCTATTGCCTCTTTAAACTACCATGCAAAGGGGCTCATCTATCAAACCCAGCAATTATTGCTAATCTGCCTGGTGCCAAAGCTGTGCTAAATTTGAGCAATATTGCACCGAGGACGTT